GGCATTGGCTCTGCCTACCTGTTTGGCCTCGGCACATTTGCTCTGCTCTTCGTGTGAGTGCCACGCCTCCACCTTTGCTGATTCATGGCGCCCTTGACTGATCCAAGAAAGCCTGTTTCGCTCTCGCATAGCACCGCGCTGAACGACTTTGTGCTGGTTGGCTTCGGCGCAATCGAGCTTCGCAAGGTGGCTGCGGATCAAAGGGTGCACCCTCTAACTTATTTCCTGCTTAGCGTCATTCCATCGGTCGTGGGATCTGAAGGTGAGTAGAGTATCAAGTCCGGCTTTTCATTCCTTGCTGATTGTCTACGTGTCCCACACGGCTCGCTAGGTCTGGTGTCGTTCTTGGATCTGTTCGTTCCCTTGACGGGCCGCACCGGCGAGATTTCGCCCTCCGATCACATCATCGCGACAATCGTGGCCGCGCTTTCGTTCATGTCTCTGCCCATCATGCTGCCACTTGCACATCGATATGGTCCCAAGCACATAACGCGAGCAATCGCTGGGCTTTTGATCTTTACGAGCATAGCCATTGCGGTGTTTGCAAGTCCTTCCTTTTCCCCTTGGACGCCTTTGACGCCCAAGCGCATATTTGTTCATCAGGTCGAGAACATTACGGACGGGACGTGGAGCATGAACATGGGCCATGCTGACGCGGCGCCTGGTCATTGGAAATTGGTCGACGACGTCAGGACCGCTTTGGTGCCAGAACACGCCCCGGCAGTCAAGCAGGTGATGAATGGTGAGCGTTGGGGCGAAGCACGCTGGTCAGATAGTATTCACTGACGCTCGCTCGAAATTGATTCCCGACCAATGCGACAGAGAACAACACCGTGTTTGACATTCTGCACCCAGTCAGCGCCTTTTTGACGCCGTTCAAGTTCGACTTGCCGCCGCCCGCTTCAGGTCAAGTCTCTCCGTGGTCCGCACCCAACGCCTTTACCGTCACATCCAGGGACGAGGAGTTGGACCTGGTAGCTGGAACGAGGCGCATCACCATCGAAGTTAAGAAACCAGGACTGATCTGGTCCGTCATTGCTTTCCATGCCGATGTCTTGGAGTGGGATTTGCCAGGCGTTTCGCCGCCTGCAGGCGGCAGGCAGAGACATCACATCAAGGAAGTGGGAAGGTATGGGGTGGAAAGTTGGACCATACGCCTCTTGCTTCGGCTGGACGAAGACGCGAGGGCAGCAGCGGCTATCCGAGGACCGGACCGTGCACCCTACTCGACCTCCGTCCGCGTAGACTCTGCAACAGCAGCCGAAGATCAAGTATACAGGAACCCCTCTAGACTCTGGATCGATTATTCCGCTTTGGACGCAGAGGGAATGTGGCCAAATTCTAGACACTTGGTCGAGAGTAGACCATCTTTGCAGACGTTTGAAAAGATGGACGGGTATTTGGCCAAGGAACACCCGGAAGTGGACGCCATGCTGCTTTCCGTAGTTGCTGGTGTCGCTCAAGTCTGAAAAATCTGCATCGTCGATACCTCCTTGCTATCGCGATCGCACGCTTTGCATCGAAGGCGCAAGATGAAACATTATTCAAATGCCCACCCCTTCTCGTGACATTTCGTATCTGGCTAGTGTGAGCGTTACAAGACGTGCCTCATGAAGAAGATGATCAGTGTAGGCGTCCAGGCACGACTGGATGGCTCGCTGCGAGACCTCCATCGACAGGAAGAGCCACACCGTTGACGTAGGAGGCCTCGTTGGTGCTGAGGAAAGTGACCACTTGTGCAATCTGTTGTAGCGATCAGATACGTTTGCAAAATCTCAGCCAATCACGTGGTGGATGACGATTTGATAGCCCGCCGCTTGTTGCACCTTCCGAAGCTGCACTCACTTCTTCTGCCACGCCATACCTCCTGGTAGGGTTGAGCTGACCGATCTTGCCCGCACTGCCGCGTTCCCTGGACATTTCAAACGTGGGCAGAGTCATGCCAGTCTCGATCAGACCGGGACAGACGGCATTGACTCGAACATTTGTTCCTGCCATTTGACAGGCTCCGGTTTGAGCGAGGGAAATGACGGCTGCTTTGCTGGCGCTGTAATCTGCCGATCCTCCTCCTGAGCGAAGACCGGCTATGGAAGCGGTGAGGATGATGGATCCACCTGCATCGGACTTGGACGAGCTGGTCACTTGCATCGCCTCGCTTGCGTACTTGACGGCGTGGAAGCAGCTAAGTAGGGATGGGAGTAGGGTAAGTGGCATGCACACATCGAACGGGGGTCAATGTTCCCAAACAGGCCGCTGGTATAGAAACTCCAATCCAGTCTAACCTGCTGCCTCTCCAAATGCCTTCAAATTCTGCGCCCAAATGCTCACCTCAATACATTCACTCTCAAAGTCTCGGCCACATCTTCTCCGTCTGTAGCAGAGATTGGAGCGCCCGTAGCGATGGCAGCATTGGCGAAAAAGACGTCCAGCTGACCTTCCTCTTTGATGGCGCGATCACAGATCTCCTTGATGGCCTCCTCTGACGCGGCATCGCAAGCATGAGTTGTGATCTGTAGTGAGCAGAAATTCAAAGCGCAAACGAGGGGTCAGCGAGGGCGAGACAGGCATTCAACAATGCGCTTGTACGAGCGAGGACAAGGTGTGGTGTGCTACAGCGCCGAGCACCTCACATCACGTATGCACGAGCCAATCGAAATCGAGCAGCAAACTCTTCAACTCACCTTGACATCGGCATACAATCCCTTCAAAGTCTTTTTGAGCTCCTCGAAATGATCATCGACGATATCGAGGGCGTAAATGTGTTTGGCACCCTCATGAGCGTACTGCCTCACCGTAGCTCTTCCAATCCCAGTCGGACTTGCAGCACCGGTGACGATGCACACTTTTCCAGATAGACGACCTGAGCGAGGCGTGCTGGATAGGTGAGATTGGATGATCTCTAGACGACGTAGCGTCTGCTCGTATGCTTTCTTGGACGCTTCGGACGACATGCCGGGCGGAGCGAAGGACGAGTGCGGTGGCGGTGGCGGTGGCGGTGGCGGTGGCGGTGGCGGGGTTGCGACAAGAAGGATGGAGAAGGGTTGGATGGAATGGGTTTGAGTGTAGTCGTGAGTGGTCAGGAGTTGGAATGAGTATGAATACGTCGCTGAGCTACATGTGCGACGGATGAGAGGATGAAGGGGGATGGAGAGTAAGAATGAAGGGCAGCTAGATGCAGACCGGTCGTGAGTGTGAGTGTGAGTGTGAGTGTGAGTGTGAGTGTGAGTGTATAGCAACTCGTCTTTGGCGTGAGAAGCCATCAAGCAGCAAGCAGCAAGAAGCAAAGCAAAGCACATCAGCCGAGTCGCTGCATGTGCATGGTGTATGCGCGCGCCTAGCCTGTTCGGCTCACCGGCGTCACCCGCAAGCCGGCGGGGGCACATGCGCGCGCGGATCCAACGATGGATGGATGATGCGCGGGGATCGAGCAATTAAGCAATCAAGGCACGAGTCAGTCACGCACGAGCCATCCGCCCAAATATACCGCGGCGGTACCTACTCACAGCGTAGCAGTTACGCTCACGACTCACATCAACGACTGTGTGACTGCATGCTGAGAGCTGCGCGACATCTTCTCAGACAGACAGACGGTCAGTCAGCAACAGCAGCAGCATCGCAACGCAAAACCATGTCCGCAAGCACAAGGTTGAACATTCTGCTGGATCTGTCCGGTACGCTGCACATCGGCGACGTAGCCACGCCCGCTGCCATCCCAGCCTTGCGCAAGCTGCGGGACTTTTTGTCCAAAAGGGGCAACAGCTCCTTGCGTTTCGCTAGCAACACCACCAAGGAAGCGCCTCTAAGCTTGCAACAACGCTTATTGAGAGCGGGATTTGGAGCTGAAGATGTGCCCTTGATGGATCTGTACACCAGTCTAAGCGCCACCGCTCGAGAGGTGGCCGTGATGCAACGACCAGCACTCTTGTTGCTCAGTCCATCCGCTCAACAAATCTTTCAAGATCCTTCTTCTTCCTCTCCCTCTCCCTCTCCCTCTCCCTCCTCCTCCTCCGCAACACATTTCAGGCCTTGCAGCGATAGATTACCAAAGGATCTTGATGAGGAAGAGTGGAAATGCTTGAAGAGGTGCAACGTCGTCGTGGTAGGTCTGGCGCCCGATCTGATGCGCAGCGAGTGGCTGGACGAAGCGTTCAGAATCCTCAGCGGAGAGTATTCCTCCGAGCAGCAAGGAGCAGCGACGCCAAAGATCATCGCGACGCACAGAGGTGAGTCGAGTCCCCTTGTGACTCCTTGACTCGCTCAACTCATCTTGAACTTCTGCAGCATTCATGGCTCACTCGCTGTCCATGCCGTCCTCTTCAGCATCGTATTATCGTCCAGCAAATGCCGCGCCGCTTTCGATGGGTCCAGGCCCCTACGTGAGCGCTCTCGAGACCGCAGCCAGGCTGGATGTTCGCGATACTTTGGTGTGCGGTAAGCCCAGTCGAGGTTTCTTCGAGGGGGCATTGAAGGAGATGAGAGGGGGCGAGGATGCGCAGCCCGGGGAGAGAAACATCGTTGTGAGTCCGAGCCCTTCTCTTTCTCCAAACCTGATTCAAACATCACACCGCCAGGTCCAAGGATGCTGATTGCCGCAAGCTGCATCAACTTTTGCAAAAAAAAAAACTCGCTGGTGAGCAGATTTTTTAAAGAGGCCATCCTCTCCCCCCTCCTCCTTGTCATGTTCCATTTCATCTCAGCTGACGCCCCCCTTTTGGGACCACGCTGCGTGCGCCGCAAAAAGACGTCTCTGCCGATCTGGGCGAAGGAGCCATCGAGCTAGGTCTCGAGCGCATACTTGGTGAGGCGCACCTTGACCTTCGCAGCCTCTCTTTCACGTCCCGTTCAAATTCTCGCGCTGATCCTACGATTCCCTCTTTGCCGCCCATCTGAATCATTGTCCTTCTGCCTGTCCCCCTCCAGTCAAGACGGGCAAGTATCGTCATGGCGACGAGGACCGGGCTACCAAACCCGTCTTTGCTGTTCATGAGACCTTTGCGCAGTGGGTCGATGTCTTGATCAGCGAGGAAGGGCATTGAAAGCGGACCAGAAGGGGTAGAGGAGGCCAATCTAATCTGCTAGCAGTTCGCAATTGCGCGATTGCACGCGCCCATTCCTACCTGCCTTGCGTCTCATCGAATCTCATCACGAGCAAGCAATCGTCGTCGAACGGTGGAGAAGACCATCTGAATTGGCAATGGAACGACAATCGACGTACATGGAATACCAGCATTCGCGGCCATAACCACAAGATCAGCGCGGCGGAATCGAGAAGCGCGGGCGACTGAGGGCGTGGGCAATCCTCTAAAGAACGAAAAGGCGAAAGAATGACCAGGTGTGCAAATGTAGGGAAAAGAAGAGGGGAAAGAGAGTGACGAGTCGCATGTTCGAAACATTTGACTGTGCACCGTGAAGAGCGGTTGTTTGACTGATCTTGTTGGGCACAACATTCTTCCCTGCACCTCATTATGATACAAAAAGAGCGTGTCGAGGCGATTTTCATGAAAAGATTCGGCTGCGAAAGGAAAGAGGTGCCATCTTGATGGATGCACGGAGGGGGAAGAGGTGGTCGAATCGGCCTCACTGCTTGCTGCCATACAGCGTGGCATACACGGCAGCTCTGCTTGCGAAAGCTGGCCCATTGTCAGCCGAGCTGCGGAATCGCAGCCATTCCGTGTCTGTGCGGCTGGTCCACGCTCGCTGATCCCTAAGGACCATGGCTTGTTGGGCACCCATGTTTCTGCCGTCCCTATCGAACGACGACTTGGACTGCTCCAGTCCGTCAATGAGCATGTCAAGGTCTTCCAAGATGGCCAGCAGGCTATCAGCTGTACGACGGTAGAAAGCATCGCGCTGTCTCTTCAGACCACCGCTTCGTGTCGCCGTGGCAGTGCTGCTTGCTTCGACATTGCTACCGCTGCGCGCACCTCGCATTGTCGGAGTCTTTGCGCTCGGCACAGGTGTGGCCTGAAGCACCGTGTCGACAATGCGCCTCGTCTCAGATAGAATTTGAAGCGCTTGCGCATGGTTGCGACGCGAAACAACCAAAAGGGAGCGAGTGATCATGTCGCTAACCAGAATCTCGATCCGTCGCCTCGTGACAATTGGATCCGCCAGTGCAGCTCCGCTGCCAGACGAAATGCCTTGCTTTGACATCGGATCTTGCGAATTGGCATCGACTTCGAGAGTCAGTACGCAAGGGTCTGGCAGCCTGCTCGTCGAGGTGCCCATTGCTGGGTCGCGGAAAGCAGCATCCACGCTGAACACTGCGACCTCTTCGATGAGATTGTCATGAGCGCCAATGCCTTCAATCTGACCATCCGCACTCGCGAGGTTAAGATTTTCTAGGCCTAGACGATGCATGAAGTCATCCGTTGCGCTACCTTGCTCATACGCTGAGCCGGCAATCCTGCGTAGGTTGCGCCGACCATCAGGCCCATGCTCGGTGATGAAGGGCACAAGGCCGTTGAAATCCAACTCCAGCTCGACCATGATTTCTTTGCAGTCTCCGAAGCGCAATTCGCCAAGTTCGAGATCGACGTCTTTGCCGGTTGCTGAGACGATTGCTCCTTGCGGACCAGCCACTTTGCGCACCCTGAAGTGATTGTCCGAAGGCACAGATATGTGCAAGCGCACGTCCGTGGAGGCGACGGACATCAGAGAGCCGACACAGCCAGCAATGCATTCCCGCAGCTGGTACCACTCCCGGACGAAGGTGTACGAGCCCTTGGTGTGATTGGAAATGAGCCAGAGTGAAGACGGGTCGTGGCTCTTTCCGAATCCAAAAGAGTGCACAGGCACATTGCCAGCCTCGGCTCGAGCCATGACAAGGTCCATCTGGCCACGACGAGGAGCGTCGGCGGCATCGCTGATGAGCAGCATACCAGTGAGAGGATTTTTACTGGTCCTTGCCAATACAATGTCTAGACCCACATTGACGGCGGTGATGGTGTCTGTCCGGTCTGCCGAACCGCCCAGAAGCTCGGCATTGTCACGGAAGGGATCTTCGCCTTCCCCGGCCCAAGGCTGCCCGATACTCTCGATGAATTGCTCGAGCACAGCTTTGCTTTGATCTTTGGCCGGGCTCAAAAGGCTGGTGCGACGTACACCTCCCTCAGCACCCACACTGTATGCGACCAAAGCCAGCCGATCTCTGGGTCCCATATTCGCAGCGACAAAGTCGAGCGTCGAGCGGATCAGCCGTAATTTGAGCTGCGCCGATGACGATGTGGTGCTGCTAGTCGTTTGCTGAGGCACAGAAGGTACGCTGACCATGATGATGAGATCCAGCGGTGTGTGGGGAAGCAGGTCGGGCGGCGGCAAGCTGGGATCGAGACCGCCAGAGGCAGACCACTGGGTGTGCATAGCTACCATGGGAGCATGCACAGATCGGCTCATCACATGATGCACGGAGTCGCTTGAGCCCCGACGAGCAACGCCGCCTGTCTGACGTCCGGCGCCCGCAAAATTTGGCGAAGCAATGTCGCCGCCCACCTTCGCGTCTACAGTGGAGGTCGTGCCACGCCGAGCAGTACTTGGCGTACCTACGGCAGGGCTTGCGCCTGCTTGCTTGGGTTCAGTGGGCGTACGTGGGTACTCTGGAGGCCGATGTTCGTTCACCAGCGCGACCAGCTTTTGGCGCCAAGATTCTAAAGTACCTCGATCCTTGAAGCAAAGTACGAAGTGATTCAGGCTATCATCGTCAAGCTTGACACTCAGACTGAGGTCTCCTTCGCTGGAGGTGTCCTGTACTCGACGAATGTGTCGAATCCAGATGCGGCCTTTGAGCTTCAAAGGCGTTTTGTTGCTGGAACTCGCAGGCGAAAGCGGGCTTCTGAGAGGATCGTTGGCGGCGCCGCGGTCGGGCTGATCCTTTATAAAACGAGAAAGCCCCTTCTCCTTCTTGCGTTCTTCAGCGACGCACAGCAAGGCTTCTTTGAAGAGGTATACGAAGAAGTCTCTAACCACGTCATCTTGGCGAACACCAAGGAAGTCAAAGAGGGCAAGAGGTCCGAATCTTTCGATGCTATGACCCTTCCAGTCGGCGATTCGTTGGCGAAGATCGTCCGTAACGGGCTTGAACGGATTGACAGTCTCGCCCGAGTCCGCAGCTGGAGTGGCCCCGAATGAAAAACCTTCGTCATCTGTGGATGGTGAGCTCGCTCCATGGGTCTCCTTGTTCGTGCTCGAATTGGTGTCTCCCAGATTCTGCGACGTATCGCGGAAAGATTCGGCGCGCGGCGAGAATGCTGTCCCCGCATCAGATGTCGAAGCTACGGAAGGAGGCTCAACGGGGTCATCGCGGTATGAGTGACTCTCTGTCGGCTGTATGCTGCGATCAGATCCTGATGCGCCGGAACGGACGCTAAGCAAAGCACGGTGTTCGTTCTCTTCCTCCTCGAGGGTGGGAGCCGGGCGCCGATTCGGGATCTCAATCGAAAGGACGCACACGATGTTTTGCTTGCCGTTCTGACCCGTCGGGTCCTTGCGATAGACTGTGGTGTATTCAGGCCGGACCTTGATAAGAGGGAATACGGTGCCTCGGTGATCCGCGGACGCGCCGATGGATGGCGAAGTCATAGAAGTGAATTCGGATATCGCATCTCTTGATTTACTGCGTTTGACGTTCTGAGCCTCGATAGGATCGTCGCGACCATTGTGTGACTGCATGGAGTCTGATTCTGTTGATATGGACCGTTGGACCGAAGAGCTGATGCTTTTGTCGCCCCCCATCATGCCGGTCAATTCTGAACGAGACGCCGACGATGAAGCAAAAGACCCCGAAGTCAGCGTGTGTGCAGCTGGACCAAAATGAAGATATCTGGCCAAATTGAGACGGGGAACAGGGAAAGGTATAACGAAAAGGCGCGTGGCATAGTCGCTTGGAGGACTCTGGACCGATGACTGCCGAGCTGAGGACTTGCCACTTCGGGCCCGCCTCAAGCTCGAACTTCGCGAGAACGACATGAGACCGTCCTACAATGGGATGTATGCGATACTTGGGAGAAGGCCGTGGTGAAGACCTCTAGACTAGCTGGTCGCCAGCTGGAATGTGAACGTGGCTTGCGACGATGATCGTTGCGCGCATAGAAGCAGCAAACTGTCGCGAGCGTACGCTTATAATTTGTGACTTGGGCTATCGCCGCGACGCGCGAGGCGAAGAGAGAGAGCATGACAGCCATACCTATCATTCAATTATGAGGACCGCGTGGCAAGCACATTCTCATGGCTCCAGCAAACGTTGTCCGGGCACCCTACCAGGCTCCAATCACGATGCGAGCCACAAATTTGAGATGTACAGCGGTCCTCGCACGGTTCTGGTCAGGTGGCAGTCAAGTACCGTCTGAGTCCGTGGTGCCCGAGACATCTCGCCGCGCAGGCCCCTGCCCTCGGCAATATTCGCGCGCGGGCCGCTCCGACTTTGACACGGCTGGTTTGCCGTTCGCGCTCATATGAAGGCCTATCCGTACCTGCTCGCGTAGTGGAGAGCTCCGAAGGGGCGCTGCCGCACTGCACAGCGAGGAAAAGCTGCTAGCCAGCAAGCTCGGCCTCAACAAGGAGTAGAGGTGCGAACCTTTCCCACGAATGATTGAGGCGCATCTGAGCGCAGGCGTGAAGCTGTTTCTGACTCTATTACTGCCCATCGACTAGAGCCACCGCGAGCGACTACGCGGGCATCAAACGCTTACTGATGTAGCCACGAGAGCGGCGAATCGGATGCCGCCATGATCGATACTCGAGAAGACTGAACTACTCACTGTTACTGCGACGTCCTGAGATGCCGTCCTCGTTCAGTACGATCGGGCGTCGACAGACTCCACACATTCCTGGCGGCCCGTTGGCCGACGGTCTTCCGCTGCCTTCGGATCGTTGTGAGCCCTGTGAAGCAAGGACAGCTTCGGGCGCTCCATACACTGCGGAAAAGCATGCGTGATGCAGCGCATGACCACACGTCGGCACGACATGGGCCTTTTCACCTGCTAACCTGAAGGATAGCAGCTCAAGACAAACTGGACAGGATGCTTCCTCCGCCGCTGCGAGCTCTGCATGACCGGAAGACGAAGGGGAATAAGCGAGTCGGGACTCCCGGGAGCTGGCGCCTCGCAAAGCTTCGGCGCGGGTGCTGGGACTTGAATGAGCCGGCGATGCAGAGCTGATAGGCCCGTTAAGCTTTCGATCACCCGAGAGAGAGGGCGACATGATCATATTCGCGTGTTCAAGGCGCTGCAGCACTTCGCTTCCTGGTGTGCCTGTCATTCGCTCCAATTTGCTCTTGCCGCTGCGTTGTATGAGGCCGCCCGCTTCGAATCGCGCCATGACATCCGCATTGGAGTCGCCTGCGTATCCCTCGGGCTTATCTTTGCCACGTTGACTGTCGGCCGAGAAGGAGCGTGCATAGTCAGACGGCTCGTGCCCGTCAGAGGGAGCCCGATTTGAGAGGTCCTGCGAGCGATTGGAGTGGTGCCCGTTGCTCGCCGAGGGAGGAACTAGCGCGCCTGCGTCACTTTCATGCGCTGCTCTTTGCTGTGCTGCAATCTGCTGTGCAGCCTTTTGGCGACCATCCATGTCCCAATCCTCTTTCGGCAAAAGGCCGGCAGTGTTGCGCCAACCAGACTTCCCTCTGTGAGGAAGACTCTCGCTGCTGACTTGAGTCTTCATAGATTGCGAATGGGAAGCGGGATCCCCATTGCCCTGATTGGAGTGCGACTTCTTTCCAAATGGAAGCTTCCATTTGCTGGTGCCAAACGCAGGCAAGCTCGAGCCCGGATCTTGCATCGTGGCGTTCGGAGCGTTGGCCTTGCGTTGCAGCGAGGAGGCTCTGGGCTGAGGTTCAGGCTGCCCGTCGGTTACCGAGCTGTGTAGGATTGTAGGAGCCACAGGAGATTGCTCTGAGATGTGAGCTTTAGGAGGGACACGGTCCGCGCTTGGCTCTTGGTTCGGAGAGGTTCGCTCAGTCTCGGTGACCGCAGAGCCTGGTTTGACGCCGTTTGCTGTGTCAGGGTCTGCCAAAGCCTGGTCCACCGCCTGCTCTGATGCAGCTTTCTGCTTTTTGATCTGACGCTGGATCTCTTGTACAGCTTGCGCAGGGAGCTTAGGTGGTCCTTCGTCTGGCGGAGAACCAGCAACTGTAGGCAGAGTAGGGGTGTGAGTATGCTTCGAGCTGCTCTTCCTGAGTGTGCGCTGATGGTCTTGATCGTCGCTGGAGTGAGTCCTCTGGTCTGAATAGGACTGACTGAAGCTTGACAAGAGCGAGTCAAAGCTCGACTTCTTCCAAAGGCCCTGAGTAAGAGCTCGAATACTTTCTGGCACGGGCGACTCAGAGGGCAATGGGGCTGCAGTGGTGATTGCAGTCCGAGATGTAGTCTCTCGTGCCGAGGTGCTACCGCTGTCAGGCGCGTGCTCTGCGCCCGTGCCGGAAGCTGGCCCAATTATGGCCCTGGTGGAGGTGTCTGATGTGTCCAGGGCTTCTTGGCTCGAGGATTGCAAAGCAGCCCGTGGTACGCGAGAGAAGCGCCGAAGGAAGTTCAACTTGCTTGTGCCACTGTTGCCACTGTTGCCGCTATCGCTTTGGATGCTAGGCGCCTTCGTCCGATGAAAGATTGCGTATCTGCCACCAGCTCTGGAGAGGCCGTCCAGGGGAGTGCACCTGGGCGGGACGACTTCAGGGACCTTTGGGGATCTCGAGGGCTGCTCGGTGGAAAATGTGATCTGAGATGGCCCTGCTTTCCGCAGAGCCTTCTCGTCGACCGGACTTCCAAGGAGTGGAGCTGACTTCGAATGCGCGCGACGCGGCCTGCGCGGTGTTGGACTGGGCAATAGCTCTTGCAAGGTCCGCGAAGGCGACCGATTGGCTGCTGCAAAATCCGTGCCGGCTCGCGAACGCGAAGCTTCAGACTGTAATGTATCGAGTCGGGGTCGCGGAGGAGATACAGGAGATGTAGAGGTCTTGTCCAGCTCGCTACTAGCGGAAGGACCAACTTGCGGGTCAGGCAAGTCAAAGAGGCCTGCCTCGCTCGTCGAAACGCGCCAAGCCTCTGTGCGTTTGCGAGCACTGTCAAAGAGAGGGTGGCGGGGCATGAGATATGATTAGCATACCTGATCGGTACCGAGGAATACCTCTCGAAGAAAAACCTGAGGACGCTAGCGGCTGCGGGCACGTAGTCACAATGTCCAATGTCCACGCGCCTGAAGCTTCCTCGAGCCGCAAAGTGCAACTTCCACCGCACCGGGGTCCGACCGCCGGACTTGGCTGCCACTCTCGCTCGAGAGCATTCATATATTGGCCTTGTGCCTCTATCCATGTAGTCGAGCAAAGAGTGGCCCAAAAGATCATGGGCGCAGCCCAGATCAAGTATCCAACTTCGCTAGCGAGCCAGGACCCAGGTTCCACTTTCGGCAGACCATACCCAGACGAACATGCGACCACTCGTACCTCGTCCAGGCACGCGGGCCAATGAAATGCACTCACCTGGCAGACATGATTGAGGGGCCGACAATACGAGAGGAGACGAGGAGTGGAGAGAAAGTTGGAAAGCGGTGTCAGCGAGTGTACGCACTGAGCTCGCAGAGCAGTGCAGAGAAATGATGGGATGGAGTCGAGACGATGCAGAGGTGATACGATACGATACATGAGAGCATCGAATCCACCTCGAGCCGTGACGGTCGCCTTTTGAGCCGACGTCCATGGGCTGTGCGTTTTGGCCCCTTTCTCGGTGGGGCATGGCGTCACTGCTTAGGGTCCGGTGCTCCAGTCACGAATGACTTGAAGCCCGCGATTGCAATCACGTTCCATGCGAAACGGCGTTATCGATCGGAGCAGCCTGTGCCCAGACAGACGTCAGCTCATCGCAACCGGCGAATGCCAGTCGCATCGGTGCATGGCGGGCCTAGGGCACGCGGGGCCCAAGCGCGCTCGGGACGCCAGGGTAGCCAACTGAATCGTCATCGCTCGCCAGCCAGGCCCAGGCGCAGTCACACCTGTGCATCTACAGTGTACTGTACAGCCTCTGCTTTGAAGCAGTCCGAGCATCGGACTGGACAAGTCGTCGAGGTGGCCGAAGGCGATCGAGCGAGCGAGACACACAAGGCCACCTCGCGCTTTGGCCCCGCAACGACTAGCGTTTCGTCGTCGCATCATCTATACATGCGCGCCTTGCTATCCTCTTTAGCAAGCGTAACCACATCCTCTCTTTTCTGGATCTAGCAGCGACATCGCCTTTGCAAGCATCAAGGCACATCCATTGCGCTACTCCGATCCTTGACAAGGTTCTGTGGCGCTGTGCTGCTCAGGATGCATCCCACGGTCGTACTCACCTTGCCTTTCGGTCTATACGCAGTCGGCCAGCTAGTTGCAAAAAGTGTCACACTGATCTCACTTGGTGAGGTCCTAAAGGCCGGGTATTCGAGCGGACCGAGCGATCGTGGAGCGTCTCGTGCACTGCTTCTGCGACGACTTTTCTCGTATGCCGAGTCGATGATCTTGGGGGTCCGGCCAAAGCTCGTCAGCGATCGTGAAGGGAGATTGCTCAGGGCGTAAAACGTGATCGACGTGGGAGGAGAACGACGGAGCTACGTAAAGAGTTGGAAGGGTATACTCGCGACTAAGAACAGTTGTCAGTGGTGAAGGCCTGTGGATAGGTTCTGTGTGGAAGGTGTGCTGGCTGAGCTTGCATCGTGCGTTTCGCCGCCGTGATCAGCGGCAGTGGCCGGATGTATGTATGCATGCTTTGGTGCATGGCTCCCACACACGCCTTTCGTGGGACAAACCAAGAAGAGAGAGGTCGCAACTCATGACTCGTGACCGCTAACTGCGTTGCTTGCATGCTCTGCCTCAAGCCTGCCGGTGTAACACTCACGACTACCCGAGCCTCTTGACTGTGGTGACTCACTGCTGCTGGTACAGATTTGACTTGTGGCTTTGACAGCAACAATCGCATGCGCGGGCAAGTGCATGGGCACCGTTACGTTCGAGTAGGACATTCAGTGATTCGTGTGCAGCAGGTTGACAGCAGGCCAAGTACGGTAGCCCAACGGCGGGCCTGCAGTCGCCTCCGCGTTGTTCCCATGCATGCATGCTCTCGCTTGCCGCTGCTGCTTGCCTTCCGATTTGGCGCAACACCGTTCAAAATTCACATTCGTGATTGGTGATTGCTGTTCGCTAACAGCCATTCGGCATCCAGCAAGCAGCAGCTGAGCGGGCGCCGGTATCCAGTCAGCTAAAGACCGGCTCTCGAGCAGGGATCATGACCAGTCATCCCATCCACGCTTGGTGAGTTGTTGTGAACTTTCAAACTCATCAGTCACAGTCGTGAGTCGAGACTCCAATTACCGTCACATATGCCGCACCGAAATAAGAAGCTCTCGCGATACCTGTGCCACACCAGTACGTACGTGAGCCGTGCTTGGACTCACGACTGCTGCTGCTGCTGCTGCTGCTGCGCCCGCCTACAGCCCGCCCGCTACGCACATCGCGTCGAAAGCGCGTGATTTCAATTAATAACCGACTGGGACAGCGTCAGGAACAGCAGCGCCCACGCCCGAAAGCATCGTGCAGCGCGGCGTCTCCGCCGTGTCGCGGAGTGAGATACACATGCTTTATGATGCTCGCAGACAGCCCTGCAAGCGAGAAGTTGGGCTCGGGGGTCCATTTCGCCTTCTACCTGCACTTATGCTCTGGACCAGTCACGAGCTCATTGACATCAGCGTATTAGAAGAGAAGCGGCAGTAGTAGCAGTCTAGTCATGATTTCAGCCACGCAGTCTGAGTCACGAGTGTATCAGACTCGGGTGGCGCCGCCACGTTTTGGGCATCGCCATCAGTTGGACAAAGCGAGCCAGTCGGGCAGACGCTGTGCTAAAAGCTACCATCATGGACTGCTTGGCCAGACTCAGCCTACGACGCCGCTCGCCATCGCATTAGTGACCCTCAGATAAGGCTTTGGGCCTCTCATGAGCCCTACTTCTTGCCGTTGAGCGCGTCGCGGCAGGGAAACATTATAGCGTCACGCCAGGGTGCATGCAAACCTTCCCGAACGGCATCGTCACAAAATTCGCATCAAGCACAAAAAGACTGCGTGTCAGATCACGGTGGCAACGGTTCAATCGAAAGCTGGTGCTTAGCCCAGCCTTGCGTATCACAACTCTGCTTGGGATTCATGTAAATTTGCTCAGCATCATGGTAGGCCGGCGGGGCCCCAGCGTGAAGTCGCCCTTTGGTCCGAAAGAGCATGGCCAGTGTATGTTGAGCAAGAGCAGTCGACGGAGCAAATTCCGCGTGTGAGATCTGGTACTGTAAGGCATGCATGCTGGGCATTCACATTCACGATTCGCAATTCTGTACAAGCGTGGCGAGCGTGGCAAGCGACGTGGGCAAGGGTTGGAGGATCTGAATGCCGAGCCTCGAGAAGAAGGTGCCTTCCCACGCCATTCGCGTGAAATGGCAAGAGCAAGAGGTCACCTCGCGTCCCTGGCACAACGAGGGCGCGTGACCCGGCTCACGCGACTCGTGAAGATGATTGCCGGTGAAGAGGCAAGGGTAAACAGCTTGCCTCTGACTGGTGCGTGGCGCTTCACACCTTATGACAGTCAAGAGTGCTCCTCTTCCGTGTCGAGCCTGCCGTCTGCCGACTGCGGGCTAGAAGAGCAGTAGCCCCTCACTCCTTAGCCCTCCTTTTTCTCTCCTTTCTCAGCGCGCTGCTCTCAGCTTTGCGGGCCAGCTTAGCAGCATTCTCTATCCCTCTTTCCACTTTGACTCTAGCCTTTGAGCTCGTGCCGGCTCGTGAGCGCTTGCGCGTGCTGGCCGTGTTGGCCGCGACGTGGCGAACGTGGCCTGGCAGCGACGATTTGCGTGCACTCGAGCTTTCTCCTGGGGTGTAAGCGCGGAGACAAACGAGCGAGGTCAAGTCAGACCGGCAAGCCTTTATTCACAAGCTAGCGACTGCGTGAGTGTGTTTCAGCGATCGTGCTTCAGCGCTCACCGCTATCATCAGGTTGTATCTTGATTTCCAGGTGCACTTCAGGTTCGCGGCGCTCGCTCCCTGCAGAGAAGATGTCTGGCCGCCGGTCAGCACTGCGACGCCACGGCGACGTTCGAGGTCCGCAGACTCACGCTTCAGACCTCCTCTTTTGCTTGCTTTTGCCATGACGACCGTCGGAGGTCGAGGCCTGACAGGTCGGCTTCACGTGATGACCGTGGTGGTGTAGCAATTCTCCCAAGAACGATGCTGGTGGTCATCATATGCATGAGTGGTTGGAATTCCGGTCACGCATGAGAAAGCATCTCGACGCGCGCGTCGGATGCGTGACTTGCGCCCTGCTCATCGGTTTGTATCGGTGTATAGCCCCAGGCGCCCTTTGGCGGTGGTGATCATTGTCAACAGCGTACCAAGGCGTAAAGATTGGCTCGTCGAGGAGACGCACACCACGCTGTGAGCTTCGCTGCCGACACGAGGAAAGGAGGCACGAATTCTATTCGCTCCGATGCGTCCTTGTGCGAATACACTACAAGCATTCAAGGGTACAGGAACGGAGCTTTGGAGGCTGTGCGCCGGCTGCTAAGATGAGCTCAATGACTTCGAGGCTACTTTCTCGGAATGAGTTGCGGCGCAAATCGCCTAATCTAGTGTGCCGGCCACTCCGAAGGAGGGCTCCCTTTGACAACATGATTTCCGGTCTCGTCGAAATCTACGGGATGATATGTCAACATATCGATGATAGGGCTTGCTTCCGTTGAATTTTCAATGCCAATCAACCTCACCGTACGCACCAACATTCTCTGGATGGCCCAAGGCTTTTCCCACGAACTTGGTGTGCGAGCCGTACGCCAGCACAGCGTCAGAGACTGGATGCCGCAGCTCAAAACGTGTTGTCGCAAGCGTCTTCCCTACGCAATTGGGGTAGATGCAAATTTGGGTAAGACCAGACGTAGCGCACAACTTCCACTTCACGTCTGGTTGGCTGACCTAAGCTTACTACTGTGCCGATGGCGTGCACCTCATCTCCGGCGCCTCCGCCTGCTTTGACGAAAGTGGTGTTGATATCAGTAGAGACGCCGGTGCTGTACAAGCCTTTGGTTGCCAGCGCTAGGCTGCCCATCGTCTGTCGATGCAGAAGCTGTCAATCGTTAGCAACCTGAGCATTGAAGCATCTGCATATGGACACATCATGGATTTGAACCCACATCGGTCAAAGAGCAAATGGCTCCACCGTGCAAGCTTCCAAGCCGATTCAGATTCTCTGACCTGATCGTGACCGAGGCTCTGACTGTGCCAGGTACGGCCGACAAAATCTTCATTTTTGGAAAACAATTCGCATCGTGTCCCTGGTTCTTGATGAATGCTGCTGCTACCCTTCTTGTAAACGTCAAGCAGGGAGACGCCGCCGCCGTCATGGTGTGGAGCAGCTCGTCTGACGTAGCAAAGTCCAATCGTGCCTGGAAGGTTTGTGCGCGATTGCAAGACTCGGTCTCAATTTGAATGCTCCGATGACAAGCCTGAAGCTATAGCGGTCAAGGTATGAAGGAGCGCCAAACCACGAGCAGACTAGCCGAGTCACGAGTGCCGGTGCCGTGTTTGTTCCACGCCCTTTCTGGCAACTCATCACAGACGACTCGTAAGTCACGACGTAAATCACGAATCTTCCGACCGTCGGCTGATGCATGCCTTGCGCACAGAGAGGTGGCTGTGCGCGCACACAAGAATCGTGGAATCGCGGGGGTGAACCACATCAGCATCAGGAGAGTCATGAGTCAAAGTCCGAGTTAGAGCTATAAGGCAATCCACGTGATGCGCGGGGTCACGCCGAGGTTCATCACGTGAACAAAAAAA